TAGGCATGATATTAATAAGTCTCACCTGTTAATTATTGTGTAAACTTTTGTTTAAATAAAAATAATTACCTCTTTGGATATATCTGCTGTTCACTTTTCTATATTGCAGATAATTTTGTTTAATTAAATTTTTTCATCCTTATTGTAAATGAAGGCACCTTATACTTGTGACTATCTTCATAACTCTAGCAAGACTTGTGGTAAAGCCTGCATTTGATTTGAAAAATATCGGCAATATTGAAAGGCTAGAAAGCGTTATTCTTATACTGATTGTGGCAAACCTACTGCTATAACTTGTGAACGGTGTGCTGATTATATTAGAGGATATTATGTGATGCAATATTATAATAAATTGTGGGATAAGGCTCAAAGATTAGACTTGATAAAAGGTGTGACTTAGAATATGATATGCATTTTACGTTTCTTTTAGCTTTGCATTCTGATTTTTTTTCCGCACTTAGAGGAGAGACTTGATAAAAGGTGCTACTTAGAGGTGTGATTTAGAGGTGAAACATAGAATATGATATGCATTTTAGGCTTTCATGGTCGGGCTCAGCTCAAATCACGTCACTTTGTTCCTTGATTTTTCATTGAGCCCTTCAGAGACAAGCAGAATAGCATAAATGTTATTATTAAATTTGGGTTTGCAAAGTTGGGCCTAGCTCAAATTGCATCACTTTGTTCCTTGATTTTCGCTGAGCCTTCTAAAGGCAATCAGAATAGTAAAAAATTTTTAATATATTATTTGGTATTAAAATCAAACTAGAATAGTTATATAAATCAATGTAGTTCTTGATATCAGACAGGCTAATTCCTAGACAAGTATGATATCATTATCTAGAATTGAGTCAAAAGGTGCTAGAAGGTTTGAATAAATAGTAATAAATATATAGCAAACTGGACTTGTAGGTAGATTTGAGTACAAAGAGCGCAATTTGAGAGATCTGTTCCAGATCTCTCAAATTGTCCTGTATATTCAGATCGAATCAGATTCAGATTTTTTAGATTCAGATTGAATTAGATTTGGATTTTTCGGATTTTACTCAAATCCAATCTGATCCGATCCGTGCAGAACGCTAATAGAAAATATTAAAGTATTTGTAGTATACAATTTGCAAATCAAATCAAATATTTAAAGATTAATTTGTATTTGATCAAATAAAATTTCTTTAATTTGAATTTGATCGAATCAAATCAAAGATTAATTCATATTTGATCAAATAATTTTTTCTTTAATTTGAATTTGATTAAATCAAATCAGTTATTAATTTGAATTTGTATTTGATTTGATTTTCAAATCAAATATTCAAATATCAAATCAAATTGCAGAACCCTATATTTTATCAATTTTGTAAATTTTATCAAGAGTATATCAGCTTAGAAGTTAATGAAGCTTGATTCTTTCTTTTGAAAGAAATACTATTAGTGTACTTTCTGATTCTTTATATATTCAATACTGACAGATTTTATTATATCTTTTGAAGCTATTTAACTAATCATTAGAGAATACAAACTCATCTTCTTATATATTAAATGTATTGGCAAAAAACCTTGCCTTTTCTTTTATCAATAAATCTGATAAGACTATATCTGATAAGACTATATCATCTTCTATTACACTTTCTACCCACAAACACATAGCCCTATCAAGTTCTGAAAACTTGACCCCTATATTTGTAAATTTCCTTAGAACCTTCAATATCTAATGCAGAATTTCACTTTTCACTTTGTGACAATATCTTTATTATACATGAAGTCGAAATAAAAACCCAAAAGTCGAAACATTTCAACTTTGGAAATCAAAGTCGAAATGAAAAGTCAAAATAGTCGAAATTACGTCATATCACATAATTTTTTATATATAGAAAAACAAAAAAAAAAGATCTATGATTTCGGTCAATATCACACCGATTTGTATGAAATAACTACTATTTAATTCTCTGCAACTAGGCGAATCTAATAAGCTAATATTCATTGGGTTTGGATCAGCTCATCTCGAGATATTTGCGATTGTATTTCAAAATCTAGACTTAGCAAAAAAAATTTACTATTGAATTAATTTTTATATAAATAGAATAACTTTTTACTCAACTTCTTATAACTCTATTGTGAGTTTCAGTTTTATTATAAATTTAAGTAATAAATAAAATAAATAAAGAAATCAACTTTGAAAAATAATTACTTTTCCCTTCTATGTGTTTATCATCTAGAATTTGATCGTGAATTACTACACTAATTTGCTTTTGAGTTTGTCACTTAAAATAAACAAATTTTTTATATTTTCCTTAAGTCTCTAAACCTTTAAATTTGTAAAGTTAAGTAAAGTAATTCTAAGGCATTTTATATACCTATAGGACATGAGATTCCCTAAGGTTATAAAATCTGACAATAAGAAACTTACTTATTGCAGCAAAGTAACTTAATGAAATATACATGTGATAAAAAGATAATTATTACTAGTAACACTATTATAAAGTGTTTAATGATATTTTATATATTAATCAAATTTATAAAATTATTTTAATTTTAAATTAATATATTATAATTTTTCAATTTACTATAATTTAAAGAAAATTTTAAAAAAATTAAAAAAAAATATAAATTTAAAACATTATGATAAATAAAAAATTATTAATAAACTAAAACTATTTAAATTATAAATAGATATTTTAAAAAATAAATAAAGAAGAAAGAAGTTTGCATTTTTTACTAGTAGTGATCATCATTAATGTTAATCAATTAATAGTAATTAAAGTTTTTTATTACTTTATGTGACTAGTAATATTTAAGAAAAAAATAAAACAAAAATATTTTAAAAGTGAAAAAAATTAAATCTTAAAATATATAATAAAATAAAAACAAAAAGTAACATATAAACATGTAATACTAGTGATGATGATTACTAGTGATATGTAGTAATTTTAAAATACATATAATTGCATAATTTAAAATTATATATTTATGTCTATATTACTAAGAAATAGTTTTAGAAACTATTATTAAATTTGAAATACAAGTATAATAAAAAAGACCAATTATGTATCAACTCAATTTTTGAATAAGCAGAAATTAAAACATTTTTATGTCATTTAATAATCCTTTACGTTGTTTCAGACTAAAAATAAAATATTTAAAATTTTAGTTTGCTATTTAAATAGATTTGATATAATTTAACTTTTATTTTACAAATTTTTTAATAAATATTTAAATTTTTAAATTTGTTTAATATCTTTAAAATATTCTTTTAATTAATAATGTATTTTTAATAATTAATGAAAAATAATAATAATAATTAATATAAGACTTTAAATATAAAAAAATAAAAGTAAATTTAACAATAAATAAAAATTGGTAAATTATTAATAATTTTATGATTTGAACTTTAACTATTTTCATCATCATAAAAAATCTTATTTATTGTAAATTTAAATTATAATAATTACTATATAATTAACTCATAATTAAAAATCATAGTTCATCATAGTTATATTGAACATAAATTTACTATCCTACTTTATTTTTTATAAAATTAATATTACTTGCTAATATATTAATAAATCAATTATAATAATAGTTCTAAATATGGGTGGTATGCTATTAAAATTGAAATAGTAAATCATATGATCCGTACATAGCAACCACCCATATAAAGAATATAATTCATTATATGGGAGGTTTGCTAGGAAAATGGGGCTCTGAGTAATTTTTATTAAAATTTTAATTTTTATTGCATTTTAATGTTTGATAATGTTAGATTAAAATGCAATAAAAATTAAAATTTTAATAAAAAATGCTCAGAGCCCCATTTTCCTAGCAAACCTCCCATATAATAAATAATATACATCTTTTTAAAAGTTAGTTGATATTTAGTATATAAAATATGATTTTTAAAATTTTAAATTTTTAATAAGTTTTTTAAATGAGTTGTGATTAATATAAATTTAATTATTATAATATTTAGTTTATTAACAATAATAATTATAAATCATAAATTTTTAATATAACGATAATATTTATAAAAATAATATTTTCAATTAGTAGTACCAGCCGGTGCATAATTAAATTAATGTTGCAAAAATTAGATAATTATAAATTTAACCATAAATAAAGTTTTCAGATCCCTTTCAACTAAAAATTTGCAACTTTTATTTAATTAAGAATTTCACGATATGGTGACATGAGATCTAATTTGGAAAAGCGACTCAGTCACAGCTTAGTCATTTGAAAATTCCGGAGTCGACTCTACTTGATTTTTGCAGAGTCGACTCAGCCGTCGACTCTGCTGGTACTACTATTTTCAATAATATATACAGTACAAATAAACCTAGCATTGATTTACATCAATTTAATTTACACTACATATAAGACAGGTAATACAGAAAACTTGTAAAGAGAATTGTTAAGGCTGATGTTGCGTGAAAAGTCATTTTGCAAACAAGCGCCTAATAATATAAGCACCCTTAATTAAACCAATTTATATTTTTTTTTATGATAAAGTGGCTTTGCATTAAATTAAGCAAAAGCCCCAGGGAGCCAATGGGATTGGATTGGACTATAAGGCCGAAAACTGTTGAATTTACTTCATGATAATATTGATTTTTTATTACAATCGCATGGAAAAAAATGAGACTTGGTTCATCAATCGTGAATTTTATGGGCAAGGTGTTATATTTTGTTTTTGTAAAATTATTTATTTTTTTTTTAAAAAAAGTTTCTACGCGATCCCAACAAATACTCTATTTACATGTATTGAACAATTAATTATAAGCGGAAATTCATAAAATACATTATTGACAAATACCAACAAATTACTGTATTTAGATGATTTAAAGTATTTAAACTATTTCAGGACAACCTTTTGACTCTAAACTTTGCACTGGAGCCTCATCTTTTTCTTCTTCAGGGCATTCTGTAAGCCGCTTTTCAATAGGCATTGGAGCTGCCATAACAGTAACGATGAAAGCAAGTATTAAAAATAATTTGATGACTTGTTTCATTCTGTCTTCGTTTTCTATAGCCCAATCGATTTAAAAGAAAAAATTTGTAAATTTACTTTTTCTTTTTTATAAGTCCAATAATAACATCACTTACAGAATATTTTTAAAAAGATTATTAGCGTTAGTTTTAATGTCTTTTTATTTTTTAAGTGAGTTTGAAGACAATCGAATTCATTTTTATATATGAAATTTTGATCACAAATTTCATACATTGAAGAAGGCGATGCAGGATATCAATGATTCTCGGAATACGAAATAAATTTAGCCTAAATTACACTGCCTTCTAACAAGTTATTGTGATGGCTGACATTATTTTTGATAAATTAAAATCTTTGTAAACTACGTAAAGCCCGATAAGCAAAGCCAATGGCGAAGGTTACCGTTGGATGGTTTCCTAATCCATGTCGCTTTTAGCAAATGGTGGGCTTAGCTATGCATAATTTGAGAGCATTTCTTATTCTTTTCCGAGTTTTCCGATTAATCATATCACATATCCCGAATGACATTAATCTATACAATTAATTAAAACTATTTAACATCAGACCCTGGCAAATATCCAATCGGTTATTCAACGAAAATAGATTCGCATCTTTCTACAACTTGTTTTCAAAATTTGATCCTTTATCCACTTTGCATTGAATGCGTCCTTACAAACAATCAATCATATTTGTTTCCCGGCAGTTTCCTCCCTTTTATTACAAAGGGCCCAAAATTTAAAACTATTAGTGATGAGCGAATGTTTTTGAGGAGCACTTTAATTATTTTTCGTATTACATAAATGGTACCTAATTACTGCTTTCATGCATTTTATACATAGTTTTAACAGAAAAATTTTATTTTATATAACAATAAGTAAAAACAAAAAAAAAATGATAGTAATTATAAAATATATTAACAAATTACAAGCTGAATTTTATATAGTACATTATGGGGGAAAAAAAGAATAATGTTTCTCTAAATTCTAAAATTATTAATTAAAAAAATTTTTTAATTTTTTACGTGGCGGGTTCGGGACAATAATTTGGATCATTATTTTCTACAGGAACGTTATCTTTAAAGGCCTCATTATCAGGAAGTTTTGATATGTTTTTGCAATCCTGTTGATCTCCGAGCCGTTTGCGTAGTGGTGCTGCAATTACAGCAGCGATTAAAACAAGTACAATAAATAATCGGAGGATTTGTTTCATTTTGTTTTTGATATCTGTATTTCTTTAAAAACTACGAAATAAAAATAAAAAAAAGAAAAAAAATAAAATTAATTAATTTCTTTCTTTTATTTACGTGCCAAAAAAATATTTCAAAACGATAGAACACTTACAGGTTATTTCTTTTATATAAAACTATATTTGAAAGTTTTATTATTTTTTGTTTTTGTTTTTATTTGAATTTTGAAATTGTTTGATGAAAAATCCTACTCAATTCTTAGCCATATATATATGAAAATTTGTCTTGAAACATTTTGAATGTTTTGATCACAACGTTTGAAACATAAAATTTATAAATAAAGTGGTGTAACGGGATTAAGGATATCGGAATACGCGTTCTTTACGAAATATGTCTTGATAAAGTTACTCCAATCATACTTTTACTATTTTAAAAAAAAAAAAGCCTGAGAAAAAAAAAATTTTTTTTTACTTTGAACAACGCCAAAAATAATTTTGGGTAAGGATCTCAACCAAAGTTTTCGTATTCATGACTTCATTTGCTTAAGTTATGGCGCAGCAAGGATATTTTTAGCAGTTTCGATGATGGTGTAACTTGAACTTCATTCAATTGACCAACATTCAACATGGCATTTCGCATGCATTGTGTAATGTCTTAACCGATTTGTGATTTATTTTTTTTTTCTTTTTTTCTTTCTTTCTGTTGTCTTTTTATGGGTAATCAATCAAGGATTTTTTTTGATTAAGAAATTTTTAAACATTTACTCCTTCCTTTCGTAATTGACAAAATTTGCGTAATTTTGAATATTAAATTTGTTTTTTTAAAAATCACTCCCTTTTTATTATTATAAATGTTAATACGATATGGTAAAATATAAATATAACAAGTTACACGAGACTAGCTTTATCCTCATAAATCTAGCAATTAATTTTCCCATTGTTTTATTTATTATTTAACCCAATAAACAAAAGAACCTGAAACGAGGGAAAAAAAAAATCTTAATACAACAGTTGAAACAAATCTCTATCTCCTTGATTAATTGATTGCATGTTTCGGAATTTTTACGCACATTTCTTTCCTATTCAAGATTCGATTTATTTCAGCCAAGTTTCTTAAAAAAATAAATTACCATCCTAACCTCATATAAAACATATATATAAATACATAGATTGAAATAGTAAAAGGTTTGATTTTCGATTCCGAAAAAGATGCATATACCTAACCTACTTTTGGGGAGTCGTTTCCAAAAACGATTTTGTACATCTATTTTAAAAACAATGAAATAAAAAAAAAAGAGATGGGCCCTCTCATTTGTGAAAACCAATGAAAATTGTTATAACCTGAGGTTTTTTTCTGTCCACGTGACTTTATAAAGTTCTTTTGGTTCAAAAATATAATTTTATTTAAAAAAAAAGACTGGCTAGTTTTATTCAAAATGTTCGAGATTTATTTTTGTTTCTGAGTTTCAAAAAACTAATTATCTTAATACAAACAGGTTTTAAAAAATTTAAAAATACATCTTCCTAAAAATGTTAATTTTTATATTTGCAATTAATCAAATAATGAGAAATTTTAAAATTTTTTTTTTTTTTTTTTTTTAAAAAAAAAATGATAATAATAAATGATATAATAAAAATAATAATGATCCAGTAATATAAATCTTTATCTTTTTTTTTTTTTTTTTTTTTGTGTTCCATCATTAAATGTGACAAGTTTTGAAACGTTCATATCAATTTTTAACAACTCCATTCGTATCCATATATTTTAATATCGCAACCCATTTTTTCTTGGCTCGATTAATCTCACTATAAGATAATTCGTCACTGATACTGGCATCATTTTTTTCCAAAACAGAAAACCCGTTCAAGGTTCGGACAAAATTCACAAACCATCGTTTTTCTTCTTCTGTAATGGCCCATTCATCGGTATCGGCGTCACCTACATTATATGGTTTTTTCCATCCCAATTGAAGAAGAAATCTTTCCTCACGTTCAATGGATGATGATGTTGAGATATCAGAGTAATGATTATTTTGTACATCTATAACTGGCGTTTTCTCATCACTTATATCTTTGATTAATAATTCACTACTAATATTGTCAACTTCTTCCTCATCCTCCTCTTCGATATGATCACAATCATTCATTGGATTAACATTTTCCTTTCGATCATTCAAGAGTACTTCTTCATCTTCTTCCTCCTCAGGAAAAATTTTAAAATATCCCATTTTTCCCATGGTAGTGTTACTCCATAAATACTTTGAATTACCACTCGCACTTAATCTCCTCCCCGTTATCGATGACTGTCCAAAATTACTGATACGAGATGTCGCGGTTGATGTCTTCGATGTTGAGATGGATGCCGATCTTTGCCTTTGAGGCTGATTGTTTGTGGGTTTGGTCGCCACGGTCTCTCTAAGGTAAGGTCTGGCATACTGTGTTTGTCCAAGAGAACGACCATTTGATATACCAATCCCAATACCAAATCCAAAAACCGAGCTTCCGTTGAGACCTCGAGCAACGCTATCTACTGACAATGACCGACTAGTTTTGCGTTTCATAATGTGTTTGGTTCTCTTCCCATCTAATTTACCACTTTCTACCTTTGGTACCAAGGACATACGTCGCTCTAATTCCGGTTCATTATCCATATTAGGAATAAAGAATTTCGTAGGTTCCTCAGTACCAGGCGTGGTAGAAGTGGGCGAAAGTAATTTTGACTTTGTGTCCGACTTTGCTATATTAGTAAATCAATTATCAACGTAAGTACGGGGTCGATTCAAATCGAGACCAAACTTTATACGAAGTAATATCTACCCCAAATGTTTTCAACATTCTTCGCTGGAAGGTCTACAGACAAATTAAATTCCTTTTTCTTCGCTAAAGTTGGCTATTGTAATTACAAAATTTGATCCGTAAGATAATGACTAGAAATTCGAAAAGGTACCAAAATAAAAATGATTAAATTAATTAATAACTTACAAAATTCTTATCAAAACTCGACGATGAAATAGGTTGACTAGTTTGAGAGACAGAACGGGATCGACCATGTACTTTAATCGGTAACTATATGTCAAATTGTAATCAAAGATTTTAATAACTTTAAAAAAAAAAATTTTAGGTTCTAAATTTCATTAAATATTTTGTAACCACCTCACGTTTTTCTGCTTCATTTAAAACAGATGAGCGAGAATTTGAAAAATCTCGCGACTTTGATCGAGTTGATGAAAGTGGAGATATCCCATTAGCTGATAAACGATTAAGAGAAGTGCTACCATCTGAAAATGTAAATTCACACACGTTTACATTTTATATAAAATAAAAATTATAAATAAGAGTTGTGGTCCGTGTCACAAGAGTATTCCCAAAAAAGGATTCTTAACCTAAAAAATTTTTTGGAAACTAATTCAACCACCAACCAAATTTTTTTTCTTCTATTTTTATTCTTAATTATAAATATTAATACCATAAACTTAGGTCAGATAAAATTTATCAAATGACTCTTACCTTTCCCTAAACCTTCCTTAGCCTGCCGAACACTACCAAGTCCATCCTTCTTTGACGTACCCCACCCCTTCACCTCCTCCTTTACGGATTTTCCCTCAGTTGTCGGTGAATAAGCTGGACTTAACACCGTTGTGGAGGATCCAGATTTATTAGTTAAATTTGTTAACCAGCTAGGAGCAAAAACATAAGATGACGCAGAGGTTGCTCTCCTTTGTCGAGATGATGTTTTAGGCGTGGAAGTAGACTTATTATTGGAATTCATCTGAGTTGTGCCGCTATTGGCTGTCGTTGCTGTAGACTTTGAATTTGTTGTATTAGGGGGCATGGTATAATGTATCGTGGTATGGGGTGGCATTGGAGTATTGTACTACTAATTTTTTTTTTATTTTTTTTTATTTTATTTTTTTTTTTGATATTTTTTTTATTTTTTTTTAATGTTTCAATTTTTTATCCAGTTTCAAGAACAATTTCTTGCCTTGTATGAATCCGAAGTTGGTAAGGTTTAATAAACTTTGCAATATGAACGCAAAGAAACCAACTGAACCGGAACCACACTAACAAAATTAATTCTCTATTCTTATAAAAAAATGATTTAAATTTCTATTTTCAAATGTTACTAATAATAATAAAATTAAAGATTCACCTCAACGCTTCGATCTCTTTTCCAATCGTCTCCTCAAAAAAAAAATCAAAAGTTTATGGATATTTTCTGAAGTTGGTTATTCAGTTATGACTAACGAATATATTGCAAGGGAAATGGAGTCTAAAGTAAATAAATCTCTGAAAAATGTAAAGACACACAAGTTGGCTGAGTAAATTTTGTAAAAAATTTCCCGACGTACTAATAATTTTTTGGGGTTCGTTAGTTTTGCCAGGTTCTAGGTTATAATGTAATTATACTGAATTTATAAATAAAATTGAACTTAATATTTCACAAGTCGATTTTGCTGGCAGAATGAATAAATTTAATAAATCGTGTTTAAAAAATTAAGTAAAAACAACTGTGATTAAGCTATATGAAGTACTTTTAAACTATATATGGTGTTATAACCAAAGAAAAAAAAAAAAGATAAAATAAGCCTTCGATTATAAATTTATACAAAAATAAAGTAAAGCTTAAAGCTTTGTGAAAAAGAGGGGGAAAAAAAAAGTGAATGAAAAAAAAAAAAATGAGGAGTTACTTCAAGAGAGAAAAAAAAAAAGTTATTACTTCCGTAAAACAGTGTTTAGTTTTTTGTATGTGGTGGGATGCTCAGGTTCGAGTAATTAAAGGCATAGTCATGGTTTCACAAAATACCACTCAGCATCGGTATTACTATTTAACAAGGGTAACAAAGTAAACAGAGTAACAAAAGTAACAATGTAATAAGATATTATATATATTATTATTAAAATATAAATTATTGATAAAATAAAAAATAATTTTAAGTTTATTATATTTACTAATAAAACTTTAATAATATTTAATAAATGTTTCAATAGAAATAAAATATTAAAGTTACTTTATTATAATAATTCTTTTTTGTAACCTTTTAATTTCAATATTTAAAGAAATTTCAAAACTAAAATCTAATTCTTTAACTTTTTGATCCTATGTTTTAATTGATTTTAATTATTTTTATTAATAGCAAAAATAGAAATAGAAGAGATTAAAGAGAAATAAAACAGAAATAGAAGTAGATTTTAATATAAAAGCAAAAACAAAATTCATTTAAATTTCTATTTTTATATGATGATATTATTTTATTTGTTTGTTAATTAATAGATTATTAGTCAAAAGATATTTTATAAAAACTAAAATATATTTGTTTTTCAATACATTTAAAGATTTATTTGAAAAAAATACAATAAATTTAATACAATAATTTATCTTTCTATAAGTGATATTAATCAAAAGGAAGTATAAATACAAAATTATTTTTATCTTACTTAATTATACCTATATATATATAGAAATAAAACTTAAATAGAAAAAAGTTTTATTCTAAAACCATATAAAAACTATTTCTATACTTTATATTTATTAATTAAAATTTTATAATTTTAATATTTTAAATTATTTTATTAAAAAGATTTGAATAATAAATAATTTATTAAAAATTTTATTAGCTAAACTTACTATATAAAAAAAATCTTGTTTGAAACAATACATAATTTTATAATATGATATATATAGCTCATCTATAACTAATAAAATTCTTTATAAATTTTGTAAATATATACATGATTTTACATAATAAATTTCATATATAATTATATATAATTTACTGCTTATTAGGTAAATCAACTAATTAAATAATAAAATTTTATAGTAATAAATATAAAAATATTAATTATTATATTATATAAAAGTTTTATAAAATTATAACTTTATTATATATATTATATATATTATAGAATAATTAATATGTAGTAATTTTGTACATATTCTATAATAAATTTTATTTATAATTTTATTTTATCATATATATTTAAGTTAGAAATTATATAATACTAGGGAACAGGATCCATTCAAAGTCTGAAGTATAGTATATAAATTATAATATTATATTTCACATGATTAATTATTTTGTAATATAAAAGACATAACACGTGATAACATAAACAAAATGTTATTAGTCTATCAGACTTGTCAAATTTGGACGAATAGAACAATCTTGCAGATCTTGCATTCAAATGACCTAGAAGTAAAATGTCTTCAGCTATGCTTCAGACAATTAAAATAAATTTTAAAAATATTTTAATATTCTATAATTTTAACTTATTAAAAAGTAATATATAATTATTATTAAAATAGTAAATTAAATAATATAAAAATAATATTTATTATTATAATATATAAAAATTTTACTATTTTATTATTTATATATCTATTTTTATTAAAAATAAATTGCATTAAAAAATTATATATAATCTGAATAATTAAAGCATTTTATTAGTTCTAACTTTCTTTTTAATAAATATATAAAAGATTTGCTAGGAAAATATGATTCATTATCACAAATTAAAATACAATAAAAAATGCTTAAGAGTCTCATTTTCCTAATAAATCTTCTATATAACCTAAATACTAATAGTATTTTATATTGTTAATGTTAGAATTTTCTCATGTGACAATAATTTACTTTCATTTTGTTAATCAAATCTAAATATTTTATTTCTTTTGTTAAAAACTTGATTAACATATCTTATGATGTAAGATAGATAACTCTAGCTGATTATGACTAAATAATATAATTATATTATTTAGTTATAATCAGCTTTCCCTTTCTATTAATAAACTCCTATATATCTATTTTGATAAATTAGTATTAATATGAGAGCTTTGCAGTAGAAAAAGAAGAAACTTTAAAAAAATTAAAATTTTACTTTCTAAGTTAATTATAATTTTTTTAGTAAAATAAGTTCAGATTTAACATTAACTCAAAAAAAATTTTTTTTAGAGTTTCCTCCTTTTTTACTGCAAAACTTTCATATGTCAATCATTTCTTATAGATAATAAAAAATTCTGAGAATTAAAGAATTCTGCATATTCAAGAATGGTATTCAAAGAATTTTAGAGAAGAAAATAAATAAATTTACATGTTAGTTTCAATACACATCTAGCAGATCAGCTAGAAATATTAGCTCTGATCAAGCATTTCATATGATATTGTAATCATTGGTCATAAACTTTACCAAAAAAATTTACCTGATTTCTGGGATTGCGTAGTCTCAGAAATTACTAAGAAAAATAATAGATTATAGTATTATCAAATTTCCAGGATAAGCTATCTCAGAAAATTGCCAAAAAAAATTTTATTATCTGATATATAGGGTTTCTCAAAATCGAATCAAATCAAATATTTAAGCAATTTGAATTTGATTTGATTTTTTCAAATCAAATCAAATCAAATCA